TCGGCATCTTGTGCTTACTTCCTTGCGTACGGATGACAGCTGCGTATGACTTAATTTATTCTCTGGTGCTTTCACTTCCAAGACAGTTATGAGCACTATGTAACTGCCTCGAGGGTGCTTGTAACACAACGTGGTGCGATCATCCCCCTTGCGCGGAGTGAGGGTTCTCGACCCCGCACAACATGATCTACTCGACCACCATTATGGTTACCGCCAAAAAAAAAACGGAGGTANTGCCAAGCGACGAAAACCCAACCCCGATGGCAAACACCGGGGGGGAGCAGCAGTAGGAAGGGAAAAAGGGAAATTCTAGCAGGACACAAGAGACTTGGAGTGCTTTCGGAGAATTAAGCTTTTCAAGGGTGTGTTGGCTAGGGTACGGGTCCGTTGGGCATGGGTACGGGTGCTATACCCAATGTACCCAGAATATAGGTACGGGTACGGGAGTCGCACCCAACGTACCCAAATTTTCGTACGGGTACGAGAGTCGTACCCAATGTACCCGGGTAAACCGGGTAGATGATGCGTGGGTATGGGTATTTTGGGTATGGGTACGGGTGTGGTACCCATATTATGGGTACGTTGGGTGCGGGTACGAGAGTCATACCCAACGTACCCAAACGTTGGGTACGGGTACATCCCCGACAAATACCCAAATTGTACTCGGGTATGTACCTCACCCAACACACCCTTGAAGCTTTTGACCAAGTGTTTTAAGGAGGAGGTGGACGAATTGGTCCAGGAAGAAGAAACATCGAAGGCAGACGTTGAGAACGTAGAACTAGAAAAGGAGTTCACTGAGGACGAGGTTGAGGCGCGTGTGAACGCACTCCAGTGCCACAAAGCAGCAGGGGCGGATGGGATAGTCAACGAGTTCATGAAGTTTGGGGGAAAGGGGATTATCCAGCTAATAGTACTGCTGNAGACATCGAAGGCAGACGTTGGGAACGTAGAACTAGAAAAGGAGTTCACTGAGGACGAGGTTGAGGCGCGTGTGAACGCACTCCAGTGCCACAAAGCAGCAGGGGCGGATGGGATAGTCAACGAGTTCATGAAGTTTGGGGGAAAGGGGATTATCCAGCTAATAGTACTGCTGTACAACTGGGTGTGGAAAAACGAGTATGCGCCAAGTAGATGGGAAGCAGTAGCTGTGACGTTGCTTCAGAAAGGAGACAAGACTGACCCAGGAAACTACAGGGGGATCACACTGTTGAACACAGAAGGAAAGGTGTTCTGTAAGCTGCTGAACGATAGGATAGTGGGAGTATTGGAGAAGGAACATAGCATTAGTGAGGGCCAGGCAGGTCTCCGGAAGAAGAGGGGGTGCGTAAACCACGCATTCACGGTGGGGAGAATCATCCAAGATAGAACGAGGGCGGGAAGGCCGACGTTCTGCGTCTTCCTGGCCGTGAGAAAGGCATGCGATACAGTATGGAGAAATGGGCTGTGGAAACAATTGTCCAAGTACGGGATCAAGGGGAAAATGTGGAGAGTGCTGAAGAAGATGACAGAGTGTACGAAAAGCGCGGTGATGCTAGACGGAGAACTGTCTAAATTCTTGGACATTCAACAGGGGGTCCCACAAGGTTGCACGCTGTCCCCAACATTATTCCAGGTGTTCATCAACGATCTGGTGGAAGTCGTAGAGGCAGTCCCGAAGGGAGTAAAAGTAGGGACACGGAAACTTCGGTGTCGGGAACGCTGTTTGCGGATTTTGTCGGTATGTCGGATACCCCTGAGGGACTGCAACTGCAAATTGACGCGGCGAAGAAGTTTACTGATAAGTGGAGATTGTCTGCCAACGTTCAGAAGAGTGCCGTCATGGTTTGCAACGAGAATAAGGAGGAACCAGCTGAACATAGATGGAAGTGGGGGATCGAGGAGATTGCAGTAGTGTACCAGTACACATACCTCGGAGTAGAGATCGCAAAAGACTGCTCGTGGAATGCACACATGTCCAAGGTAGCGGAAAAGGGCAAATCACGAGCAGGGAAGCTGCATCCAATACTCGCAAACCGGCACCTCGATACACGCATCAAATTGACGGTTTTGAAGAGCGTAATCGTACCGCCGCTAGAGTACGCCGGAGAAGTATGGGAAGAAAAAGAGGAGGTAGTGAAAGAACTCGAGGCGGCGCAGATGAA